AAGTGCACTGACCTCGGTGAACTGCAGCGCTACATTGGCCTGCAGATCACCAGGGACAGAGCCGCTTGCACCATCACACTGACTCAGTCACACATGGTGCAGCAGGTCCTTCGGCGGTTCGGGTTTCAGTTCTCCACCACACAGCCCACTCCTCTTGCCGTTGACCACCGACTCACTGGCCCTTTTCCTGACGAGCCCTTTGAGTCTAGTGGCCCCTACGCAGAGCTTGTGGGCTGCCTCATGTACCTGATGACTTGTACTCGGTCGGACCTCGCCTTTCCCCTCAGCGTCCTCTCTTGCTTTGTTGCGACTGGAAGACACCGTCCTGTTCACTGGACAGCTGCTGTGAGGGTGGCGAAGTACCTGGCGACTACATCAGGCATGGGGCTTGTGCTTGGAGGGACACAGCCAGTTGTGTTGACCGGTCACTGCGACTCTTCCTACGCTGACGACGTGGAGACTCAGCGTTCGACTCAGGGTTACTGCTTCAGTCTGGGTGCTAGAGCTGTGTCGAGGAGGTCTACACGGTCGTCGTCCGTGGCTTCGTCCAGTGCAGAGGCAGAGATCTACGCTGGTGCCATGGTGGCACAGGAGCTTCGCTGGTTGACCTTCTTGCTCGCCGACCTTGGTGAGCGGCCTCGCTCTGCACCGACCTTGTACGCTGACAACAAGGCCATGATCCTCCTGTGTCGAGAGCCTCGACTGGAGAGCAGGGTGAAGCATATTGACGTGATGTACTTCCTCCAGCGAGAGTTGCAACGACGCGGCCAGGCACGCTTGGACTTTGTGGCCTCAGAGGCCAACACTGCCGACGTCTTCACCAAGGCCTTGGCGCCTGGTGACCACCACATGTTCTGTGTGCAGCTGGGGCTTGTTGATGCTGGTGTTCGGTGACTGTAGACTTGCTTCTTGTTGCTTGCTCTGCTTGTTCATGTATCTATACATATTGTGAACTCTTGAACTGGCCTTGTGGCCCTTTGCTTGTGCTCAGATTGTGTGGTGACTTCGTGATCCACCCTGAGCTTGCTGTGTTCCTTCTCTTGACTGGTCTTGTGACTCGTTGTTTCCCTTGGTTGATTTGATGCCCCTCACTTAGCCTATGGGGGTGTGTCAAATGTTTATATGTTCTAGATGTTAGTTATTCTAGGCTACAGTGAGTTGCCCTCTAAAGGGTACAACATTCTCTAGGTCAACACTTGTATCTCGATTGTTCCTACTCACTCACACCATTCTCTTGTTAAGATGAGAGGAGCCATGGATGGCGAGAGAGTTAGGTAGGGTCGAAAAAGTTGCACTAGGAAGAAAATGTCGAGATACAAAAGAGAGGGTTGGAAACCCTAATTGAACCTAGGGTGTGTTCGGTTTGTACTAAGAACTACGAAATGAACCTAAAATGAACCTGAATGCGTAAGTCTCTCTAAGCATGGAGATATAATATAAGAACACCAAAATAAAAACCAGAGCGAGCTCTAGCCTACTCCAACACACCCCCAGGCTAGGTGAAGCTCAGGAGAAAAACACCTAGCGAACCGGCACACCCCCTGAAGTGGAGAGACGCGTGAGCCCAAGCTCGCGCACGTAGAAACGGTGTGGCGCACGCAGAAGGGCCTTGGTGAAAATGTCAGCAAGGTTGGCAGCAGCGTCCACCTTGCGCAGACGTAAGAAACCAGACTGCACCAGCTCGCGCACAAAGAAATAGCGGACCTCGATATGCTTGCTGCGGGCGTGATAGACAGGATTTTCAGTGAGATGAATCATGCTCGCACTGTCACAGGAGAGCGTCACAGAGGACTGAGAGTGACCAAGCTCAGCAAGGAGAAATGAGAGCCAGCGAGCCTCCTGAGCTGCCAAGGTGCCTGCGTACAACTCAGCCTCGCAGGTGGAAAGGCAGACAGAGGATGAGCGAGTAGAGCGCCAGCTTATGAGACCACTACCAAGAGTGAAACCATAGTCCTGAGATGAGCAGCGATCAGGACGGGAGTCAGCATAGGAAGAGTCACTGTAGCCGGAGAGAACGGGAGGAACAGAGCCACCAAGAGTGAGAGCAAGGTCAGAGGTGGCGCGCAGATAGCGCAGGACGCGCTTAGCAGCCGCCCAGTGCACGTCAGTGTGGCGGCCTAGACCAACAAAGCGAGAGTGAACACTGAGGGGGTAAGCAAGGTCGGGGCGAGTGCACATCATAGCATACATGAGAGATCCAACGAGCTCAGGATAAGGCCGCAGCTCAGAGGAGGGAGCAAGGACGGCAGGGGCAGTGAGTTGATGGTTAGCGGGAAGAGGGGTGGAGACCGGCTTGGCCTGCGACATCTCAAACCGCTGGAGGATGGACTGGATATAGAAAGACTGGGAGAGAGAGGGGCAGCACGATCACGACGGATCTCCATGCCGAGGTAGTGACGAAGCTCGCCAAGGTCCTTGCACAGGAGACGCGCCTGCAGGGCCTTCTTGACAGCTGCAAGATCGGCGGAGTCCTCAGCAAGCAGCACCAAATCGTCCACATAGGCAAGGATGTAAAGCCTGTGGGGGGATGTGCGAATGAAGAGACTGGGGTCGGAGGTGGAGGTAGAGAAGCCAAGAGAGTGAAGGGTGGAGGCGAGCTTGGCGTGCCACTCGCGTGGGGCCTGTTTAAGGCCATACACAGGTCGTTTCAATTCCCAAACCGTGCCTGGAGGGAAAGGGCGAGGAAAGCCAGCGGGGCGCTCAAGGAATATGCGCTCATGCAGCTCGCCCTGGAGGAAAGCATTGGAAACGTCCATGGAATGGATCTCCCAATTCCAGCGAGCATCTAAGTCAAGAAGGAGGCGAAGGGTGGGGAGACGGGCTGTGGGGGAGTAAGTGGCAAAGTAATCAATGCCTTCACGCTGAGTGAACCCCTTGGCACAGTAGGAAGTTCGCCGGGCAGCTGCTTGACACGGAAGACCCATTTGCCTTTGACAATGGTGGCGCCAAGGGGGGGGACAGAGTCAATGTATGAATTAGTTCTTGTGAATGCCTCACACTCAGCAATGATTGCAGCCATCCACTCAGTGGCATGAAAGCCCGACACAGCCTCGGAGTAGGAATGAGGGGTGGGAATGGCAGCGGTGTCGACAGAGAGAAGAGTGGGAGAATTGCTAAAGTCACCAACGGTGACACACAGGAGAGGAGAAACAGGATGAATGTTGAAGAGCTCCTCAAAGAGATCTTCAAGAAGAGTAACATTCTGAGATGGAGAAAGACGAGTGAAAAGAGCAGAGTGCTGAAAATTAGAAAGTGCGCGAGTCATGGAGCGAGTAAGGCGTGGGGAAGGGGGGGGAATGGGAACAGACGAAGGAGGTGGAGAGGAAGATGGAAGTGAGGAAGGGAGGGGAGCCGAAGAGGAAGAGGCGGGTGGGGAGGCGCCAGAGATGATGTCGGAAGGGGGGGCAGTAGAGGCTGGCGCAGAGGGAGGGGCGGGAAGGGGCGGGATAGGAGGGGGGGGGGGGGGAGGGGAGGGAAGGACAGACGGCGGCTGATCGAAATCAGACCAGTGAAGAGAGGGGACAGGAGGGGCGGGTGGGGGGGAAAGGAATGGGGATTGAGTCTCATCGAAAATGACGTCCTGGCTGCGGATGAGTTGGTGAGAGGAAGGGGCATAGAAAAGATAGCCAGGACAGTCAGAGTTGATGCCAAGGAATGCACAGAGCTGCGTCTTTGGAGCGAGTTTCCCACCCTGACGGGACCGGTCTGCTGGATTGACAAGAACATGGGCGACACACCCCCAGACCCGAAGAGTGCGAACAGAGGGCTGGCGGCCAGTCCAAAGCTGGAAGGGGGTGGTAGTAGGGCGAAGAGGATGAGGGCGGAGGTTAGAGAGTAGAGTGGCATGGAGGAGAGCATAGCTCCAAAGAGAGTGGGGAGCAGAGGCATGGGTGAGAAGGCAGCGAGTGATTTCCATGAGAGTGCGATTGCGACGCTCGGCAACCCCATTCTGTTCTGGTGAGTGAGGAAGAGTGGAGGTCCGGCGAATGCCATGAGAGGCACAGTAAGAGGAGAGAGAGTGATTAAAGAATTCGCCACCACCATCCGAGTGGAAGCGCGTGACAGGACGCTTAAAGCGTAGACGAGCCTGCTCAGCCCAACGAATGATGAGGGAGGGAGCGTCAGATTTGGCACGGAGGGGATAGACAGTGGCAAATCGTGAGTGGTCATCAACCAAAAGCAGAGAGTAGCGATGACCCTGACGAGAAGCAGTAGGTGAAGGACCCCAGAGGTCCATATGAACAAGGTCAAGAGGTTGGGGAGAGGCAGAGGGAGAAGAGAGATGGGGTGACTGGGATAATTTGGCCTGGACACATGGGGTGCATGGAGGAGCAGGAGAGGGAGGAAGGGGGGGGAGAGAGGAAGGGAGGCCATGAAGAAGCTTGGAGGAGACCATACTGCGAAGAAGGGGAAAAATGGGGTGGCCAAGCCGATGATGGAGGAGAAGGGTAGGTTGAGTGAGAGAACGACAGTCGCAAGAAGGAACGGGAGGGGCGGAAGCGGAAGAGGCATGATGGGCAGAAGGGGGGAGAGAGACACGAAGAGTGTAGAGGCGAGTAATAGGGGAAAGAGTAAAGCGTGCAAGATGGCGGTTGCGATGATATAGATCACAATAGGAGTCACATTCAGGAAAGATAGCTTGCACACAAAGACGTTGAAGAGCAGAGAGAGAGAGAAGGTTGTGGCGGCAGGAAGGGACATAGAGGCCAGTCACATTACCAGAGGGGGAGGCAGGACAGGGAAGAGAGGAGGTAGCAGTGCAAGTCATGGTCATGGTATCCCCAGCTCCTTGAATGGAGAGGGGATGGGGAAAAGAGCGAAGCGCACCAGCGTCACGAAAAACAGAGTCAGTGGCACCACTGTCAAGAACAAACTCAAGAGTGTGAGGGAGAGAAAGAGCAGCAGCTGTGGGACGAAGATACTGAGAATCATTGCCATTAACAGAAGGAGCAAACATCATGGCAAAACGAGGGTCCATAAGGAGAGAAGCCCCCAGAATGCTATCCTGACTAGGCATAGTCACACTGAGAGCAGAGGTTTGAGCACTGGTACCAGAGTCGGCAGCCACAAGTACCGCCTGGGCAGAAGACTGGCGACGCTGACGAGAGAGTTGAAGCCAATTGGGAGGGCGACCAGTGTTGCCAGCCAGGAACCAGTCATCGGTGAGCTTCTGGAAGCAGGAGGAGGCGGGATGATTGGTGCGACCGCAGGGCTGACCCTTGCGGGGCCCCTGGCGAATGATGTAGGTGCAAGGAGGAAAGGTGTTGCGAGGGCGAGAGGAAGCAGCGGCGGCAGTGGAGGTGGGGAGAGGGGGGGGGGGGCGGAAGAGGGTGTGACAGCGGCGGCAGTAGGAGGGCAGCTGCGGAGGTTGAGCTCTGCCTGGAGGAGGAAGGCAGAGACACGGGAGAACGACCACTGGTCGGCAGGGCGCTCACCATACAGAGTGACATGAACACTGTATTCAGGAGTGAGGCCTGTGAGGAGGAGGGCACCGCACACATGATCGGAAAGTTCAAACTTTTGAGAGGCAAGTTGGGAGGACATCGTCTGCACACGAGCGATGTAGTCCGCCATGGTGGTGAAGTCAGCAAGACGAAGAGAGGTGAGCTCGCGTAAGAGGGCAATGACACTAATAGGAGTCTGCGACTGGAAGCGCTTGGTAAGATAGCCGGGAAGGTCCTTGGCATAGCGGATGTGCGAGCACTGAGGGAGAAGAGTTGGAGGGAGGCAGGCAAGGATGACCTGATAGGCACGTGCGTTGGCAACATGCCAGTCAGCAAGAAGGTCAGAGTGAGATGGAGCAGAGGAAATGGGCGTAGACGCAGAGCGAGGAGAAGGGGCAGCGAGGTGCTCAGTGAGGCGCTTGCGGGTGCTCTCGAGGGACTCAGCAAGAATACGAGCTAAGTCACGGGCAGCAGCATTGTCAGGAGCAGCCGTGGCGGTGGCTTGCGCCGTGGTCACAAGCCGCTCAGTTTCAGCAATGGCAGCACGGAGGCCATCAGCATAGGGGTCAGAGGAGGAAGAGGTGGGTCCAGAGGGAGAGGTGGGAATGGCGCCAGAACCACTCTGCTGAGTGAAAAACCATAGGTTAAAGCCACTCACGAGGGTGCAAGACAGCGTGCGCTCAAGACAGTTCAGCCAACTGGGGAAGTTGACTGCACTGCCATCGGGCGCAAGCTGAAGGACCAGTAGAGGGAGGGAGGGGAGGGCGAGAGAGGTCGCCATGAGGAGGAGGAAACAGCTGCAGAGCAGATGTGAGGAGAGGTATAAGAGGCGGAGGAATAAGGGCGGGGTAGTCTGCTGCTGAGCCACTGAGGGGAGAAACAAGAGGAGGAGGGAAAGTGGCGGAGTAGTCTGCTGCTGAGCCGATGCGGGGAGAAACCAGAGGAGGAGGGAAAATGGCGAAGTAGTCTGCTGCTGCGCCGATGAGGGGAGAAACCAGAGGAGGAGGGAAAATGGCGAAGTAGTCTGCTGCTGCGCCGATGAGGGGAGAAACCAGAGGAGGAGGGAAAATGGCGGAGTAGTCTGCTGCTGCGCCGATGAGGGGAGAAACCAGAGGAGGAGGGAAAATGGCGGAGTAGTCTGTTGCTGTGCCGCTGAAGGGAGAAACAAGAGGAGGAGGGAGAATTGGGAAGAGTGTGCAGTTGAGCAGTTGAGAGGAGGATGTTGAGGAGGAGGGAAGGTGTGGAGGAACAACAGCTACACAACACAATCAGCTACCAGCTGCAGCAGATGAAGAGAGAAAAGAGGTGGAGGAGGGGTGAGATAGTGGAGAGGGAACTAGTGGGAGAGAGGGGATGAGGAGGAGGGTGAAGGGGCGGATTGTGGGAAGGGCAGGGCGCGCCACAAGGAGCGACGAGCCGCAGCAGATGGGGAGAGAAAATAGGAGGAGGAAGAGGTGAGGTATTGGGGGAAGCACAAAGGAGAGAGGGAAGGAGGAGGAGGGTGAGGGAAGGGGCGGATTGAGGAAGGGCAGAGCGCGCCGCAAGGAAGGGCAGGCACGCGCGCTGCTGGACGGTGCTTAGCGCGCGCGGCGGCAGGAGCGCAATGCGCGCGCGACAAGACAGGGAGGGGGGAGGGGACGGCTGAGCGCGCTACAGGCAGAAATCGGCGTGCTACCGTCCGAAACGTGAGGAGGAGGAAGCGGGATGAAGAGGGAAGGTGCGGGCGGATGATCTGAACGGTAGGGAGGCGCGCTTCGGACTAGATTAGGGCACCCGAGCGAGTATAACGAAGAAAACCGCGCAGATGCTAAGAGTGACGGGAAAGAAACAAGAGGAAAGGAAAAAAAAAAGTCGTCTAGCTAAGTAGCGCGGAAAACGGCCTAAGGGCCGGAGATTATCTAAGAAATGCGGATGAATATGAAACGCCTAGGACTACGCTCTGAATACCATGTTAAGATGAGAGGAGCCATGGATGGCGAGAGAGTTAGGTAGGGTCGAAAAAGTTGCACTAGGAAGAAAATATCGAGATACAAAAGAGAGAGGGTTGGAAACCCTAATTGAACCTAGGGTGTGTTCGGTTTGTACTAAACCAAGTCTTGGCCCACCTAGGGATGAGCCTAGGGTGTTTGGGCTTGACAAGTTCAACGGTGACAACTTTGCTGAATGGTCCTTCAGGATGGATAACATCTTTGACCACTATGACCTGCTGGAGGTGATGGAAGGAACGGAGAAGCGCCCCGAGAACGACCCGGAGAAGAGCCCGTGGGTGCGGAAGAGCGCACAAGGCTATCTCTTACTTGGGCAAGCGTTGGGGAGCAGTCAGATCCATCACATCAAGCCATTCCAGCGTGAACCAGAGAAAGGACCAAAGGCATGGGCTGCTCTCAAGGGTGTACATGCTCCTGCAACAGCGGCGGTAGCGGTGGTGTTGGAACGGCAAATGGCGGCACTACGAATTGAAGAAGACGAAGCGGTTGAAGAAGGGGTGCAGAAATTCTTCGACTTGTTGACGCGGCTTGAGGGAGCTGATTTGAACTACAGTGAGCTCCAAAAGAAGACCAAGTTGCTGGCCTTACTCCCAGAGTCATGGTCCTCGCTCATCATCAACCTTAATCGCGACTTGCCCCGCCTCTCGCTTGAAGACGTGAAGCGAGCTATCCTTCAAGAGGATTTCCGCCGCCGTGAGTTGGCGAGTGCGGATGGCGCTGGGGCAGCGAGCATCGGCCGTGGATATGGTCGAGGAAGAGGCAGAGGACGAGGGGGAGGAAGGTTTGGTGGCAGCAACTTCGGCGGAGGCCGCAGGAGTGGCGGTTACGGCAGCGACGACAAGAGCTACGGACGCGGTCGCGGCCGATTCGACGGCGAGTGTCACTATTGCCACAAGAGCGGACACATGTGGCGCGACTGCTACAAACTCCCTGATGGTTGGACCCCTGCTCAAGGCCAAGAGGGTAGAGGAGCAGGAGGAGGGAGAGGACGAGGCCGTGGAGGCCGTGGCGGTCGCGGTGGCGGAGCTGCAAACATGAAGAGCGGAGACAACGACAAGGACCCGAGCGACGATCGATACCCGGGTCTATTCTACTGGGTGACAACGACAAGGTGACCCTACACCCCCTGGACTATTGGGTGATTGATAGTGGCGCTACCTATAGCATGACACCTCGCCCGGACTTGCTCACCGAACTCGAGCCGTCACCGGTGAAGCATGTCACATCGGCTTTGGGGCAGCGAGCAGAGGTGAAAGGCATGGGCAAGGCCATGTTCAAGGGTGCTGATGGGAAGATGGTGGGCCTCAAGAACGTGCTTTGGGTGCCCAGCCTTGCTGCAAACCTGATTTCCGTGCGGCGGTTGGCAAAGGCCGGCATGGACACGAACTCGAAGGGAGCCAAGACCTACACCGCAAGGCTTGGCGATCGAATTCTTTGGGACCTTCATGAGGACAGGGATGTCTACAACGAGATGTGGCAGATCCCAGTGGTCCCTATGCCTAAGGAGAGGCAAGTGGCAGCAAGCATCAGCACCAAGGATGGAGCGGTCGGTAGCGACGATGGCGCGAACGGTCGCGCTAAGGAGAATGAGCTCAAGAAGAGCAAACCTGGAGGGACCAGCAAGTTCAGTGAACCTAAGGAGAGTGGTGCAGCAACCAAGGAGCAGCAAAAGGGTGAGGAGAACCCAGAGGCAGCAGCGGAGGAGGACTACGGAGAGAGTATGTGGGGCGCTATTGCGAGCGCGGCATTCTCCAATCCAACTTCGGCTACGGGGGAGTGTGATTGGCTCACCTTGCATCGGCGCATGGGGCATGTGGCCCTGCCCATCTTGCAGCAGCTAGTGAAGAATGAGATGGTTGCTGGCATACGTGTGAAGGGGGAGCCCGATGAGGTGCTTGGCTGCCCGACGTGCATTCAAGCCAAGTTCACCCGGTTTCCGTTCCCTAGTTCGGAGGCAACGGCAAAGGCACCGCTTGATGAGGTGGTGATGGACGTGGTGGGCCCCCTGAAGCTTGGAGCTGCTGGAGCTGAGTATTTTCTCACCATTGTTGACGTCTACACCCGCATGACTTGGGTGTACGTGCTGGCCAAGAAGAGCGACGTGGCTGAAACGTTGAAGACGGATTGGTTCCCGATGGTGGAGCGGCAACAAGACCGTCTAGTCAAGTCAATCCGCACCGATCGAGGGGGAGAGTTCCTGAGCAAGGAGTTTGGGTTGTGGCTGAAGAAGAATGGTATTCGGCACTCCCTCACCATGCCATACTCCCCTGCAATGAACGGCATCGCCGAGCGAGCGAACCGCACAATCACGGAGGCGGCACGCGGGTTGCTCATTGAAGCCGGGCTACCCGACTATTTCTGGCCTGATGCGGTGCGGAGCGCGTGTGTGGCCAAGAACAGAGCCTTGACTCATGTGGGAGCAGACAAATGGGTGCCCTATGTGGAGTGGCTAGGAAGGAAGCCAAAGGTGGATATGCTTCGGGTGTTCGGGTGCATGTGCATGGCGCTCGTGCCTAAGCATCTTCGGCACAACAAGCTTGGTGCCAAGGCGGTGTGGGCCGTGCACTTGGGCATGGCTCAAAACAGCAAGGGATGGCTTCTTTGGGACCCATTCACCAAGAAGTTCTTGGTGAGCAGGGACTGCAAGTTCATGGAGAACTTCATGTACAAGGATTGGAAGGCGGAGAATGAGGCGAAGATAGGCGTGCGGTTTGGGGAGGTGAAGAGTTCCGGTTTGGAGCATGTGGAGCTGCCTTTGGAGCTGAGCAGCGGCAGCACAACCACAAGGCAATCCTCCCTTGTGAATGGGGGAGAGGAGGCCAATGATGCAGAGGAAGAAGAGGAGGAGGTGCAGCAAGTGAGCGAGCGTGCACCGTCACTCCCTTCCCGTACTACGAGTGCTCCACGGATTCGAGCCACACCGCAGCAACGCCAAGGCCTTCAAGTCCCTGCAGCTGAGGAGGAAGGAAGGGGGAAGAGGAGAGTTCAACCCCCTAATAGGCTGACCTATGATGCGCCGGGAAAGCAGGGCAAGACAGCCCTGGCCGGAGCGGCAATGATGGTCGGAGACGACGAGGAGAGTGACTACGAGGAGTGTGCCTTCGCGTTCTTCTCTCCGGTGGAGATGCCGGGAGAACCAGCAACTCTCAAGGAGGCTTTGGAGAGTAGTGATGCTGAGGAGTGGAAGAAGGCCATGGAGAGTGAGCTGAAGAGCATCGAGGAGAATGACACGTTTGAATTGGTGGAGCTACCGGAGGGGCGTACGGCGATAACGTCCAAGTGGCTCTTCAAAATCAAGTCGGATGCCGACGGCAAGATCGAGCGCTACAAGTCTAGGCTTGTAGCCAAGGGGTACCAGCAGAAGGAGAAGGTGGACTTCAAGGAGCTGTTTGCCCCTGTGGTGAAGCCGACGACGCTGCGAACCCTATTCGCGGGAGCCGCCATCAAAGGATGGGTAGTAAAGCAAATGGACATCGTAACGGCATTCCTTAACGACATCCTTGAGGAGGAGATTTTTATGGCGCAGCCAGAGGGGTTTGATGATGGTAGTGGCAGAGTGTGGAAGCTGAAGAAGGCCCTCTATGGGCTGAAGCAGGCCCCTAGGCAATGGTACATGAAGCTGCGCGAAGTGTTGGAGGGGATCGGCTTCACTCCCTCAACGGCCGATCACTCCTTGTTCATGCTTGGCGAGGGGGAGCAGAGGAGTTTCATGGTGGTTTATGTGGATGACATCCTCATTTTCTCACCCTCTTCTGACCTTGTGAAGGAGGTGATGCTGAAGCTTCAAGACAAGTTCAAGTGCAAGGCCC